GGGCAGTGGCACCTGCTGGGGCACCGCAGCCTGCCATGGCCCTTCCCCTCCGGGGCCACCAGCCCTGCCCCTCAGCCGGCCGGGCAGGGGCAGAGCTGCCCTTGGGGACAATCCCTGGGGGCGCTGCCCCGGCCCCGCTCACTCCCGCTGCCATTTGCTGTCCCCCAGCCTGTGCGTGCTGTGCCGCCGGGCAGAGGCGGACCCGGGGCTCTGCGGGCGCAACTTCAGCCGAGGAGGGCTCGGCGTCCACGAGTTCTGCCTGGTGAGTCCCCCCGGGGTCCCTCCTGCTTTGGGACGGGCTCTCCCTGCCACACTCTCCTCACCAGCTCCCCGTCCCTTCTCCTCTGTAGATCTTTGCCACCCAGCTCTCGCGGCTGCCCGCAGAGGATCCTCAGCTCTTCCGGTACCGCTGCCGGGACATCCTGCAGGCGGTCGAGCGGGCGGCGCAGAAGGTGCGGCCCTGAGAAGGACGGGGGGCTGTTCAGGTATCTCTGCGGGGATATTATACGGACAATCGAGAACGCAGCGCAGAAGGTGAGGACCTGACGAGGACAGGGAGTTTTGGGCCAGGAGAGCTCTGCGGGAGCTGCACCCAGCCCTGAGCAGGAAACCCCAGCCCTTCCACATGGTGCTGGGACAGAGCCTTGCTCCCAGCAGCTCCGCAGAGGTCCCTGCACAGGAGCCTCGTCCTCCAGGCAGCTCTGCGGGGTGCAGCCCAGCTGTCTTCTCCAGACCTGCTGCGTCTGTAAGAAGACCGGGCCCACCATCACCTGCGGAGAGACGGGCTGTGAACGCAGCTTCCACCTCCCCTGTGCCACGGAGGGGGGCTGCGTCACGCAGTACTTCTCTCCGTACAGGTACCTCCTCTCCCCCCCTCCCCACCGCCAGGGAAGGACCCAGCACTTGACATCTCACCCAGCCCCGTCCTCTTGCCCGCAGGTGCTTCTGTGCGGAGCGCCGCCCGGAGCAGGCACTGGGGCTGGAGCCTGAGAAGAACACCAGGTGCCTCATTTGCCTGGAGCGGCTGGAGGAGCCAAAGCCTTACCTGATCCCGGTGTGCCCCGTGTGCAAGCACGCCTGCTTCCACCGGGGCTGTATCCAGGTGGGAGCCCATCCCTCACCCCCGGGGCACGGCGGGGGCTCAGCAGCACCGGGGCCTCCCTCACGCTCCTGATGTTTCTCCTGCAGGGCCTGGCACTGCAAGATGGCATCACCCAGCTGCAGTGCCCGCTCTGCCGGGATAAGGACGGGTTCGGAAGCGAGATGCTGAGAATCGGGGTCCGCGTCCCCTTCCAGTGAGTGTCCTTCTGTCCCACTCCCAGGTCGGGAGGTGCGAGGGCTGTGCCCTGCCAGGGGCTGCCCCCGCACCCCTGGCCCAGCTCTGTCCCGTGGCTCTGGGCTTCTGCTGCACCCAGGAGCGGGCAAGAGGGCAGGGGGGTCAGCAGAGGAGGGATGCCCTGGGTCTGCCCTGTGCCGGGGCAGCAGGGGCTCCTCCATGTCCCTTTCTCCACCAGGCTGCCATCATGGGACGCTGAGGCACACGCTGAGCTGAGCGCCAGGCACGGGCGCTGTGACGCCAGCGAGTGCCTCTGCCCCGCAGGCCGGGAGTGGGCTGAGCAAGAGGGGTAAGTGCCCAGAGCTGCCCCGCGGGGCTCTGCTCGGGATCTCGGCCTCGCCAAGGGCTCCAGGCAGAAGCTCTAAGCACAGGAGCTGGGCCGGACGAGGCCGAGCTGCCAGCCCGGTGTCCTCACAGCCACGAACCCGTTTGCTTCCCCACGCGCCCCTGGGGCCTGGTGCTGTGCAGCTCTGGCGCTGCCGGGGGCACCCACCGGGGCTGCTCCCGCCTGGGGAACAGCACGCAGGGCTGGGAGTGCCCCGGCTGTGCCG